CAGATGGAAAATCAGAGAACAGCTAGATCGAGAACCAGTTCCAACATCTAACATCAGCAATAAAGAACGAAGAGCTCTGATCGGGCTACCATCAAGATCTTACCTGCAGATAAGGGAAACGCTACTGTTGTGAAGGATACTGATCTATACGAACAGAAGATGGAAGAGGTGCTCCAGAAAGAAAAATACACGAAGATCGTAAGGGACCTTGCTGCATCAATTAAAAGGAAGTTGTACCCGACTTTGAAGAAACACGAAGTCTATTTTACGGAAAAAGAGAGATCATTGCTAACACCGCACCACAGTAAGCCCCCTCACCTGTATGAACTACACAAAATCCACAAAAAGGATGTTCCGCTCAGACCGATCATTAGCTCGAGAGATTCAGCCACTCAGAAATTGTCCGGATTTTTACTACCAATAATTAAACGAAGATGGGGACCTGAAAGATAGAACAAACTTACCGATACAAGTAATCATGGAATTACTAGGATGCTGCGGACGAAACTGCTACTTTCAACTGAAGGACGAATTCTTTACGCAAGATGAGGGACTACGAATGGGATCGCCACTTTCACCTGTTATAGCCAATATATATGTGGAGTGGTTTGAAACTCTGGCCATTGAAGAAGCCCACAAGAAGCTCCGAGTCTGGTTGAGATACGTAGACGACACCTTCATAATATGGAACCATGGGAATGCAGAACTAGACCCCTTCCTGAAGCACATTAACAACGTAAGTTCTTTCATCAATTTCACAATGGAGAAGGAAGTCCACAACGGATTGCCTTTCTTAGAGTATTGGTGAAGAGGACCGACACTGAATGGGAAATATCTGTATATCGAAAACCCACTCACACAGGACAGTATCTGAACCAGAAGACCAACCACAATCAATCGACTAAGAGAGGAATCATCAAGACTCTATTAGACCGTGCGTTTTGGCTCTGGAATACAAAAGAAGATCTCGAAAAAGAACTAGGCATAATCAAAAATGACCTACAACGGAATGGTTATTCCAGAGTGATGGTAGAACAGGATTATTGGTGGTGGAGAGAATAATGTTAAAATTGTTTCTTGATTGTAACTGTGCTAGAACATAAATGAGCTCGAACTTGAAGAACGATGCTGTGATTTATTTATCGTTGTTCCAATCCATATGTTACTATTTAAAGTGTCGGACTGGTGATAGATGAATTATTATAGAGACGTATTCAACGATGAAATTTATTAAACCAAAACACAATGACAAAGAAACACGAAAAATAGGAAAGTACAATGGACACTTTCGATTTTGATTTTGCAGTTATTTCACATGCAAATAATTTGTTAGTTTTTGGAAAAGTTTTCGTTTGATGGGTATTGGTGACAGATCAAAAACCCTTACAAAAGTAAAAGTATTCGAAAGAAAAATTAAACAATCAAACCCCATAATCATACGATTGTTTATAGCAGGTGCCAGTCATTAGATACTTCATGAAAGGAAAAATGATAACTCTACCCACCTTAGACCCAGTAGAATCTTGAAAAGTCCACCTAGTGTCCCAAATGTGTTTATGTTAACGAAATGCGATTTTGATCGAGTGTGAGGAAGCGACCTTTTCTATTCGAATGCACATTATTTCCGTGAAGGGCTTTAGGCGGATTCCGGTGTGGCTTACGATCTCAGAGTGAACTCCGGACTACAGAAAATCCGTGTTCTTCTATTTACCTTTTCACTTCCTCCATACTCGATGTCCGAAGGGCTGAACTCATCTGTAATATTGAAAGATAGTCGGGTCGAGGATGGTGGAGAAGTAAAAAGTAACCACAGCAGCAGTGTGAGTAATTTGCAACTATACGTCAGCTGTTCAAAAAATAAGGTGGTTGTTCAAATGTTACTTTCATTTTTGGAAAATCGATTTTTTATTGTGATTGAAGGAAGCCGATGAGATCTTCGTTGCTCTGATATCTACCATAAATCACTGAAATACAGATGGATATATAAACGCGGCATGTAACTGTAATAATATATCTTTTATCGCAGTTTGATAATCTGAATACCGTATCTGGGATTATCCGTCATAAATATTTCACCACATCGATGTTCGAAAGTGAAATTCAACAAAACCGACAATGTGTTACCTAAATATTCCAATAGTATCATTGATCATTCACTTGCTATGGTCCAAACCATAGGAAGGAATCGCACGTTGAGAGGTAAGACCTCGTTAGTCCTTAGCTCGCACAAGTTTGGACTTCTGAGGGTTGTCGTTCGTAGGGATGCGACAGCTGGTTAACGGAATGGACATAACATATTTTAAACATAACATAACATATTATGACCGATATTGTATTGATTATACCAATTTTCCTGTGAAAAATTCAACTTGATATATGATAATCAATCTGGTTTCATGCAAAGCAGATCAACTTGAGTATAATGCCTGGTAAAAAACTTGCTATATATCTCTTCGTTGATCGCACCAAACCCTTGGAACTATCAGCCACCCAGAATTGTTAGAAACTCTGGATAATATTGGGTTACGCGGAATATCACACCATCTGATGGAAAATTACCTGAGACACAGAAAACAATGTCATCATTGATATTCAAATAAGCAAAATCAGAGTAGTTAGCTACGGAGTGCCTCAGGAAACAGTACTTGGGCATATGTTGATCATCCTGTATAGCTATTTATACTGAGATCACCAGTTCCGCAGGAGATATTAGTTGAAATTATTGATCCATGTTCAGCTATCTTGTATTATTTCAACAGAAAATTGTTACGATTGTTCTGGAAAAACTGTGTTTACACCTTTTCCAGTTATGTAACTAATCCCCAATATTACAAAACTATAGATGTTCCAATAAATGACGGTTATATTCAATTGAAATCTTCAGAAATCATGAAACACCTAGGGATTATATTAGATAATCGTTTGAAATGGAACTTACACATTACCAATCTGACTAAATCTCTCAGATATTCAGTCAGCAAGTTCAACTCTCTTGTTGTATGGTATAATTGTCTGCACAGAAACGGTCATATTTGCATAAAAACAGCCACATTTGCAGAAAAAAATCATGTGTCACCAAGACAACGCCCCGTCTCACAGCTCAGCGGTTGCCATGGAGAAAATCCACGAATTGAGGTTTGAACTGCTGGACCATCCACCTTACTTACCAGATCTAGCCACAAGCGACTTTTTTTACCTGATCTGAAAATTGCACTCAATGAAAATTGCGTCAAATGAAGAGGCAATCGCCCTCGTGAACAATTATTTTGCATGTTGTTTCTTTGTTAGGTTGGAAACTTTACAGGTCATCCTCGTATGACACCTGGTATAAAATGAATTCATTGAATATACCAAATATGTATGGTGTCATACCCAGTCATTTCTAGTTAGGTATTCAATTGAATTCCACAATCAAATTTAAAAATTAAAAATATGGATGATAGAGACGCCAAGAAGGATAGTGAATCTGTTTAAAAATCTGTTTAAAATCTGTTTTTCCGTTAATTATATGAATCAGAATGAACTTATAGAATTCAAAAATGTTTGTTAGTTAATGTGTATGTCTTTTTGATAGGCTTATCTCGAGTCTACTACTTCTGAATTCTAAAGTACCCAGGATATTCGACCAAATATCCTGGACCCAAGGTACAGGGCCTTGAAAGCGGTCGCCAGACATCCATAAGCCTGTGCGATCTTAGCAAGGCCTTTGACTGGTTTTCTCAACCAGACTGATTAGTACGAACTCTGTGTCTCAATTTATAGGGATGGATGTTTCCCTTTACCTGTGTTGCTGCCACTACCTGTGACGGACAATAAGGTCCATGCTTCGTAATCTTAAGGATCAGATACCACTGGAGTCACAAGGAGGCCTTCCTGGCCGAGGTTTTCAGTATTACTATTTTTCGGGTTTGAAAGCCGTGGATTTATGAAATCTTTCTATTACAATATGTTACAGAGTCTATGTGTATTTGGATGATAAAAAAATCATTATTTTCAATCATTATTATTATTCCTGGGTTATTTTTTTGGTATAATTGAGTTTTTCTTATAATAACTGCATTTTTGTCAATGTCAGCGAAATACAAAATCAAGTTTTCTTTCCAATCTAACATTTTCAAGTCACTTTTTATTATTTTTATGGTTATTTTTTTGGTATAATGTAGTTTTTCTTATAATAACTGCATTTTTGTCAATATCAGCGAAATACACAATCAAGTTTTCTTTCCAATCTAACATTTTCAAGTCACATTTCTTCCACACGACCGAAAGAATGAACCTCTGGAAATAATTGTCTACACCAGCAAAATACCAACTCCGTCGAATCGAACGTGCACTGTAAATTCTGGAAACTATAGCTATCCAGTCCACGTTCGTTCCAAAGAGACATTAGTTTTCATTTTGGGCCACTCGAACTGTGCCACGGTTAGTCAATAGAAGTGAAAGATTTATTTCTTGCCGCATCGTCTGAAACAAATGGACCAAATAATCGATACTGATATAGCGACGTGGGAAGATTTATCACTAGCACATGACTTACAAGTGCAAGATTCATGTCTATAATGAGGTAAGACGACTGGGAAGATTTTGCTAACGGGATCTTGTTGAATTGTTACAGTACTGTAAATGACATATTGGGAGGAGTACGAGATTCAAAGTCTTAGAGGAGATTCATGATGAAGAGATTATTTTTAATGAGAGTATCTTCAAAATCGTGGATTTGACATTGAAACATATATGTTATTGTACAGAAAAGTCTCGATTTGCTAATATAGTGGGTAAAAAACCTATGAAGTGGGAAAATGCAGCAATAATTGGGTCAAGTGTCAATGAAAATTGATTTACATGAATGGAATGGGACGGGACGGGACAGAAAGGGACAGGATGGAAAGAGGAAGGAAAAGGAAGGGANAATTTTTTTTTCTCGGTCCTGCTTTTTATGTATTGGAACTACCTTCCCAATTTTTAATTCTTTCGGAAATGACACTGTTACAAATGACAGAATGATCAGGTACGTTAGAGACTGTATTTTACTGGTAAGACATTCACTTATGAGGAAACAAGGAATCTCAATTCTGGTCAATTCAGCAACTTTCAGAAGGAAAAATAAAATCAAAAGGAAAGGAAGAAGAAGGGAGGAGGAAAAGGAGGGAGAAAAGGGAAGAGAAATGCGGGAAAGAAAGAGAAAAGGGGAGGAAGAGGTAAAGGGAAAGGAAAAGGGAAAGGAAGGGAAAGGAAGGAAAAGGAAGGAAAAGGAAGGGAAAGGAAGGGAAAGGAAGGGAAAGGAAGGGAAAGGAAGGGAAAGGAAGAGAAAGAGAAAGGAAGGGAAAGGAAAGGAAAGGAAGAGAAAGGAAGGGAAAGGAAGGGAAAGGAAGGGAAAGGAAGGGAAAGGAAGAGAAAGAGAAAGGAAGGGAAAGGAAAGGAAAGGAAGAGAAAGGAAGAGAAAGGAAGGGAAAGGGAAAGAGAAAGGGAAAGGGAACGGGAACGGGAAAGGGAAAGGGAAAGGAAAAGGGAAAGGGAAAGGGAAAGGGAAAGGAGAACATAAAGGGAAAGGGAAAGGGACAAAGAAAAGGAAAGGAAAGGGAACGGAAAACGGAAAGGGAAAGAAAAAAGGAAAGAAAAAAGGAAAGGGAAAGGAAAGGGAAAGTACCGTTGGAGAAGCATAAGTTGATCATATTTCTAAGTAGCTGGATAATGAACTTGATTGTTTTCTTGAGTATTCTTCAGTCATGTATATTCTGGAATTATTTACGAAATTTCATGAAATCAAGCAAATGAATTAGAATTGGTATTCAATTATACGAGTAGTTTGAAGAATCATCCGATGTTGAGTTCATTGGAACTAATAACCGGTCCAGGTTCTGCCGCAATATTTGCATAAATGACTTCCAATGATAGATTTGAAGAAACTTCGAATATGAAACTAAGAACAGTGTTCAAGCTTTTCAACTCTTACATAGTGACTTGTTCATTATGTGGTATTTGTTGAAGAACTGTGGAAATAAACACATTTTGCTTTATTTTTCTGGTAAATGCGGATCCAAACCGTCAATAACAATTTTTCGATATTTTCAATACACACAGAAATAACCCTCGGTCTAATAGCCCATCATAACCTCACTATCCACTATCCCCGGGGCTCTGAAAGTACATACAACTCCGCGGAACTCGATCGGTGGTCCTGCGGTTCGACTGCGGGAAACTCCAACAAGTAAATGGAAAACTATAATGGAAGTGGGGCACGTAGATTTTGCAATACAACGTGGTGATGAAGGGGAACCGTGTACCATTCATTGCATTCTCGAGTAGCGGCTATAACTCGTACATGGGATTTGTTTGATCGATTTANGTTCATGGGATTTGAAATTTTCTTAATGAATGTTGGAAGTTCAATAAATATTTTTATAGACATAATATGAGGTCCGACACAATTCAAAATATACATGGATATCACAGTTAAAATTTGTAACTCAGTAAATAACTGCTTACAAGAATCACTATATTTTTTTAAAACACATGGTTCTTAGTATCTTTTTTTGAGCAATCAACAGATCATTCAATCTGCTGCAGTTACCGTAGCAGACTAGGCAATATTTTAGACTTGAGTAGTAGTAGCTTAATAAAATATTAATGAGGACAGAATTTCTGAGATTCCAAATAACGAAACAATGTTTGGATAATTTAATAGAAATAGAGGCAATGTGATCATTCCAGGATGATCAGGAGTCAATGTTCAACCCTAAGAATTTGACAGATTTTTTCTGTACAATAGATTCAGTATTAGCTCTAACCAATATACTGCATCTTCTAGAAATAAAAATGTGATATCAATTTTGTTCTTTTCCACCATCTGTATGCACCATCCTAAAACAATGACAAAATGGTTTAGACTTTCACGGCTGAGGTGTTCAGTGTCATTGCTTTTCGAGTTTGAAAGCCGTGGATTTTTGGAATTTCTTCCTGACATTTCCTGAATAGCTTCTTCAGAGGTTTAACCATCATGGTTTGCTGTCCGATGACTACCTGTTAGGCTTCGTAAAGCGTATTTATGCCTTGTCAGTTGTATTTATACCTGTATTTGACCTGTACTGTTACCTAGACTTGTACCTGGAATATTAACAATCTTGTTGCCTGTTGTCCTGTTCGTTATTGTAGAATTCCTTAAAATGGGGTTCCATATTCGATTGAGGTTCACCGCTTCTTCTTTCCTGTTGAAATTCTCCGTATGTTTGTGGATCTCTATTGCCTCACGTACCAGTCGGCTATAGTATCCCTGGTTGGGGGCAATTAGTTCTGGGTTTTCAAACAAAATTATGTAGTCTCCTTCAATAACCCACCAACTTCACTAACCAGACTAACTCACAAAGTGTATCGAAAACCCACACACACAGATATATACTATTGAACCACCATCCTAGCCAAAAGAGAGGAGTTATCTCCACTCTAACAGAACGGGCTCGGAGAATTTGTGAACCAAAACATCTGGAGAGGGAACTGAAATACCTTGAAGTGACCTTGAGATCGAATGGATACAGTGCCTCCGAGATCAGGAAAGCCATGAAACCAGAGAGCACCACGATTCTGAAAGCGAAAAAGGATCAGACGGTTGGTAGGCTTCGTAAAGCGTATTTATGGCTTGTCAGGTAATCAGTTGTATTGGTAGCTGTATTTGTACCTGTAGTTATACCTGCACTTGTACCTTACATCCCCATTGGAGAATCCTTAAACTTTGTTCAAAGTATAATCTTTCTTGTTTCACAAACTTTCCGTTTTTGTTTTTGCGATGTCGACTTTGTAACGAAAACATTCATCAGGTTTGCTTGTGTCAGTGTTGGAACTATTTATTATTCTTTAAAAGTAACCAACTAAAAGTTTTGCAGCAGTCTGAAGAAGCACGGAGCGAGTTTTCTGGATTTAATGACAACAACAGCAGGAGACTGATGGTATCGATTTCTAATAGAATAGTCGTAATTAGACAGTTCTCATAAATCTATGGCGTCATACAGTTTGTTTTTCAGCTGCTACTAGTTCTTAGTTCTTAATTTATTGTATTGTGTGGCAAGAATTCTAGAAACTACGAGTACTTCAAAAATCCTGTTGAAATGTTTTAGTTATGAGTCAGATTCGTCAAAACATGGATACATTGATTTCTGATTCGTTTCTATTTCTATAAAACAACGACAAAAATTAATTTGCGCTCCGTGGCGAGTACATTGATTCCAGTGGCGCATTTGCCTTTTCAGCTGCAGGAAAATCCAGAAAAACCTGCAGCACCACATCATCTGAAGATCTTAATCTGCCAATGTCAAATAGTCAAAAATAATAACCTCGTTTTTTATCCAAACATTTTACCAAACTCTTTTGTCTTAAGCCTAACTGATAAAAAGGAAGTAAATGCTTTAATCTGCGACCTTAAAAACAAAAAGGCGGTAGAAAAAGACGAAATTAAAGCAGAACTGCTGAAATCAATATCACATTATATACTAGATCCTTCAGTTTTTATCATTAATAAATGTATAATACTTGGTGTATGGCCCGACTCATTCAAAACTGCAGTAGTGACTCCTATCCATAAAAAGGAGATAAAACTGAAATCACAAACTATAGACCAATCTCGCTATTCACCCATCTGTCAAAAATATTCAAAAAATTGCTAAAGAAAAGAATAAACTCATTTATAACCAAATATGAATTGATTTCAGATAGACAATTTGGCTTCAAAGAAAAAACCTCAACCGAAGACGCGATTCTTGAACTGACAGAATTGATACATAATTTCTTGGAAAAAGGAAAACCTTCTTTATGTCTTGTTATAGGCTTTCGATACTGTCGATCATAATATGCGAAAATAATATGAAAATAATGACTCCTGCAGAATATTCATTACTGTACAGGCTTATTTAATATTCAATAGAGATAAAATGCAATGAATATTGGATGCGATGAGATAAAATTTTCATAATTGTGTTAATTCAGTTGATTTCTAAGTATAAAACCCACTAATATATCCAACAAACCGTTTAAATGATTTCAGGAAAAATATCTACTAATGAAGAGAATGACAATTTGATCAATGAAATTAATTGGCTTATTTCCATCATATGAAAATATGAGTTGATACGTAGGTTCATACAAAATTGGTCTATCCAAAACAAGCACTCTCTTCAATCAAGTTCTTCATTTCCTGAAGACGCAAACTTGGTTGCTAAAACGCTCGTCGAGAAAAGTGCTGGTTTTAGATTCAATCCAGGCTAGATATTCCAGTTTCACCTCTCATTAATGGGTCTATTTAACCCTTCATTCCCTTCATTCCAATAAATGAGGGTTCGTTGTGGTTTACACCTATTTCAACTCAGCCAAATGAGTCCAGTTTCTCAACGAAGCTAACTATTTTATTAACTGAATGATAATCTTTTAGGTCAATTAGCAGAAGAGTGGAAAGTGTAGTATTCATTTGGAACATTGAATGTTTTGTGATGTGATATAACAAATGTAAAACGACTTTTTATAGTTGCATGTAAGCTGTGAGTAACAACGGTATGAAACACTCGCATCAATAATCAATAGATTTTTTTCAATTAAACACCAGAAATTGATTATACTCTCGAATTTTGATTGGATTTTTTCATACTTTCAATGAAAAACACTTTTTAATGTATCTTACACCTGCACAAAGTAGAGAGGATTAGATTTTCCGGAGAAAGGAAGTATTAAAAGCAGATAGTTGTTGGTTCACAGATGGATCACACGGTTCTGGTGCAGGTGTTTTTAGTCGCAGACCCAGGACAAAGATATCTACTTACCTAGGAAGCTATGCAACTATATTTCAAGAGGAAATATTACGCTATTGAATTGTGTGCGGAGAGATTGGAAGAATCCAACCACATACACAAGTCAATAAAAATATTTTCGGACAGTCAAGCGGCGTTGGAAACTCTTGGATTCTACCGAGCAACGTCTAAATTGGTAGCAAATTGCCAAAAACGACTCTCCTCAATAGGAAAACTTAGCATATTGTCTCTGATCTGGATTCCTGGCCATACTAGCCTGGAAGGCAATAAACACCTAGATGATATACATTTCTGGCAGAATCTTCCAGGATTGGTTCACTCCAAGGCGTTTATTCACCTTTCGAAGCATGATACTAAACAGTAGGGATGAACTACTATGTCTAACAGGCCTTCTTACAGGTCACTGTAATTTGAATCATCATATGCAGAGATTGTTGTATTAATGAAGGTCGTTATCATAAAGGACTTGATCACTTCATGCACATTCAAGAATAAAGATTAGTTCAAACCACCTCACCAGATCAATACCTGTTGAGAGATGTTCTTGACCTGTTCAAATCTGATTGAAACTTGATCGAGTTCTGTTCAAACCAATGCAAAACTTCTACTA